ACATAGATGTTGTTTTAATCTGTTTTAAAAATTGGTGACTTAATGGATAAAACTAGTATCTATGAATTGATACGCACCTCACAATTGAGAAAATAGTTGTTTACCGATATTCAATAAAAGTGTACACCCAAAATCTGATATTCAAATTAAAGTTACATTTCATTTCAGTTCTTAATTTCGGTGCTAGAAAACATCTAAGTCTTAAACATGTTAAGCTCATCAATCATTTAAAGTTATAATAAATTATATAAAAATACACAAATGTACGGTTATTAATAAGCAACTATAATCGTAAATAAAAAAATAGATTGTAATTTATTTTTAATTGAGCACACATATTTTGTTTGTTTTTCCAAAATTTTTCAGTAGTAAGCTATTCTTACCAATATATATATGGCGAAGCCTAGCATTAGTATCATTTGTACTTCATATTAAAATATTTATTGCTTTAGTCATTACTAGGATTGATGTTTTTTATACGGCATAAAAGTTTTAATTTTGTGTATAATAATAATGTGCATTTTATTACAAATTCTAAATATTCTAGCAAGTTAGAAAAATTAAAATAATTTATTGATCGTTTAAGTATAAAATTGAAGTAGGATAGCAGGTAGTGTTGCCAAAAACAAAAAACGGTAAAAATATATTGTACATGATGTCTTATTGAAAATTTAATATTTGTTTTATGAATATTCAAGACGAAAGCAAAAATGTTAATTAGCACATCAAACAACGTTTTTTTGTGTCAATGGCGATGATATATTATATTATTTATACCTAATATTACCAATGTTTTATTGACAATTAGGTTCACGATATTATTAATTTCACTTATACTTGATAAATATGTAAGCACACTTATTATCCATTAGACTAGCAGCGATACACATTGCTTAGCTGTTGAAGTCAAGCAAGTACAATACTTACATGTAGCCATGTAGGTATTGCAAAGATTGCGCGCTTGTTGATTGCGATGGTTTCCTTTTTTTCTTCTTTTTTTTTTTTTTGTAACGAAACCGTGTTTTAAAACGTAAGATCTAAAGTGCGGTTTTAACCGAACTAATGGCGATAAACATACGATATAGGTAATTATAATATTTAAATCCCAATCGTTAACCGCCTCTGGTTAAATTACAGCTATATAATTGAAATTAAAAACTTAGAGAAAGTTAATAGTGTACAATATTTTTTAAGTCCAACTATTTATAACTAAAGATGATGTTCCGTTGATTCAAAATAAAAAGGTACTTATACAAATTTTACAATGTTTTAGTGGAACTGTGTTTTAAGTTGAAAGTTAAATTAGTTTTTTTAACACCGAAATGCCCTTTGTCAAAAATACCGCGCAGTTACCGCGGTTACCATCACGGTACTTGGGGTTACCACTAATCAAGGTACCTATTGTTCAATGATTATATTTTTAAGGTTATGTACAAAACCAGTTACACATAAATTGAAAATCCTCATTTTATTTATTTGAATATTGCGCTACTATTATTATTATTTTTTTTATAATAAAAAATAAAATCTATTCAAGATATCTAACGCTAGAAAATATAAAAAGACAACAAAATAATAGGTAATACTTAATTGATAACCGTTTATAGCGGTATATATTTGATTTAAAAGAAGTCGACAAAGAAAAAAAAAGTAATAAATAATGACATACATAAGTAATTAACACATAACACATACAAGCAAATATCTATTGGGGAAAAAAACTATACAAACAAAAGTCGATATAGGTAGAATCATTATAGTATAACTAATTTGATCAAAACGAAATCGATAAAATAAAATACTAGAAAAAAAGACAGGCGAAAATTTAAAAAAAAAATGTAATAATTAAATACAATAATTATACGTAGGTAGTACAAATTATTAGATTTAAAGATCAAATCTTATGTATAAATATAAGTAAACTAAAGTGGAAAAAAAATTGAAAATTACCTTATATAAATTATAATAGTAAATAATCTAATAATACATAACTATTGTTATAATTTAAAATATGTAGCTACATATCAAACCATCGCGTTTATATGATTTATTTTCAAATAAAAATTAAATGGTTTTTTCAATTTTTTTTCATATTGACTGTTACAATACTAGTAATAATAATTTAATAATTTAATACACCTATGTTATAATATATAATCATACTATGGTAATATAACAGAAGATTATAAATAGAATGAAACAAGATGGATAATAATAATAATAATAAGCACACTATGTATGTAATAATATTATCATAAGAATAATAATACTACTAATATAATGCGTACAATGATAATATTAATAATTAATAAACGCTAAGAAATGTAGGTATCTATATGAAAAATGATGATAATAATAATAATTGTATAATAATTATAATGTATGCAATATGCATGTATTTTTATGGTCGTGTATGAAAAATTATAAAAAAAAGCTTCTATAGTTAAATTTAATTTTTGTATGATTTTTTTTTTTTTATTTTACAAATTCCGTATTTTGTAAAAACAATATTTTAGAATTGTTCTTTCCTAACGCGATACCGCATTTCAATTTTCATTATTCTTATTTTTTTTTTTTGTTGCTATGTTATAATTTTTTAATAATAGGTACATTATTATTATCACAGAATAATCGTTTGATGAACGTCGTGTAAGGTATGCGTTGTTGTACATGTGTGCGTGTTTTCACAGTATGTCTGTGTATAAATTATACTAATCGTTGTGAACAAATTTCTCCATATAAATTACACCAATTAAATTCCAACCAAAAAAAAAAACTTGAAATATTTTCAAAAACTTACCCGACCTATTAAAATATTTTTGGCAATTTTTTTCTAAAAATGTTTTACTAGTCACTGCCCGTTCATATATATTTTTTTGTAAAGCAATTCTACACTTCAGTTGTTTCGGCTATTAAATTCAAAATCTTTCCACGATTAATCAAATAAACATTTAAAAAAAAATTGCCAAAATACAATATCGCTTAGGAGTTGGCTACACTACAACAATAACTTCTACCTAAATAGGTAAGTATATTATATTTATTTCATATAATATAATATTATCTCACTCGTTCGCTAAATAGTTGTCACTAATAATTGATCACTTTGGGTACCGTTATCACACCACAGCCTTTCTACATGTTAAATGGTATTATTATAATAATTAGGATGTAAGAAAAAACATTTACAGGAAAATTTTGTAATATTTCATATTACTCTATAGATGGAGAACTTTTTTAGTTTAATTTCAAAATTTAGTTGATATATTTTGAGCTGAGAATATTATAGGCTACAACACAGATAAAAATAGAAAGAAGATATTATAGTCTTTGGTACACAAATTAAGTTAAAATCAACAATTACACAAAAAGCTGACTTCCGAGGAAATTATAAATTGCCAATAACTAAGGAAACGTCAAAAACGATAAATACACATAAATGCTAATAATATTGTACTATCGACTTCTTGATTTACAATTGTAATTTAATATAATTTTTTTTATTTTAAATTGCCCTCAACTCTTTTAGTTCAGTTTAAATTAACCATTCTCAATTCTTGACTTACAACTCAGTCCTAACAACAACACGATAAGCCCGTTTTCTCACTCTTGTTGGTAACAATTGAACCCTAAGATAACTGATAAGTTTTCCCTCATTAACTACAATGACTAAATAATAAGTCAGTCGCCGGTAGTTTACTTACTGGTTTTTATAATGTACACTTTTTTTTTCTTCACATAAACATTTATTCCCCAACATTTGATTTTAATGATCATCGGTATTACAATACAATATATTTCAAACATTTCTACCACCCAGTAAAGGAGTTGAATGCAATTTAGGTAGGTAAGTGTTAATAGCGATGGAATGGATTTTTTTTCTACAATAATTACTACAAATACAAGAACTAGAACTAAAGAACAATATAATGTACAACGAATACTCTTTTTTTTTTTTTTTGGATTCCATATTATATTTATTTAAAACGATTTGTTGACATGGGAAATTTAACACAATTAACAATTTTTTTTTTTAACTTCATTTCTTAATAATCAATTGAGCACTCATTTTGTGCATTGGTAAATTATAATACGCAAGTAAATATATAAGTATAGGCATACGGAAAAGTATATATTATAATAAACATTAAAACTTATTCTAGTCAACTCAAATTGAACATGTCGTTCTCTCGAAACAGCAGTAGAATTATGATAATAATTTTTATAGCGTAATAATAAGTATAATCAAAAAGATAAATTTGAAAAAAGCAAATAATGAAAAAAAAATCCTAAACACATTATGTAATAGTATAATTTGTATACTCGAAGTGCTACTATAATAAAGAGAAAAAAAGTATAAGTATGATAAAAAAAAAATCCAAACCATATTATTAATCGTCATAAAGTTTTAATAATAATAATAAATATTAATTATCTATAATAAAACTCACAAGACGTTTCAAAAAAAAAAAAAAAAGAGAGAATGAAAAAGAGAAAAAAATTCAAGTAGTTCTCAGTTTTAAAATGAAAACGGTGGATTATTTTCCTTTGAAACAACCCGCTAAAATGTAAAATTAAAAAAAGCAAATTGCACAAAACCACACACCTAAACGTAATCTCAACGGTAATCTTTTCATTTTTTATCTTCCAAAATTATTAATATAAATATATTTTGTAATAATAATAATAATAATAGGTAAAGTAGATTAGATAACATTATTTTTTTTTTAATTTCCAATAAAAAGTAATTAAATTATTATTAACCACGTATTATATAATAATAATAATATTAAGAATAATAATCGTAATCATAATAATTTATAATAAGAATAATAATAATAATGATAATAGTTATAGTAGTAGTAATAATAATAATAATAATAATAATAATAATTGTAACAATAATCATAATAGCAATTATTTAGACACACATAAATTTCAAATCAAAGCTAAATTATTAATGTTCTAGAATGTATATAATATGCGTTTTAATAATATTATTTTTGTAGATTTTTTTTTTGTCTTTTGTTATTTTTTTTTTTTTTATAGATCAAAAAATTATAATAAAAAAATGTTTAAACAATAAATCAGTTAACTTTTTAAATTTCACAATTACATATTATTATAATATAACACATACAACCGAGTATTATAATAATAATAATAATAATAATAATAATTGTAAACATGTGCCTAGGATGTTTTGTATGATGTTGTACCGGTCTGTCTCTCTAAGGATGTTTTATTTTTTAAAACCACACTTCTCGAACACGGTATTCAAAAAAAAAATTATAATAAGAACGATGCAGAACGAAATCAAAGTTGGAAGACAAAGGAGTTCGTCCGGTAATAATTTTGCATTTGTTGTTAAAAAACGTGGAATGAGATATTAAAACGTAAAACGAAAATCAAAAAAATTAAAGAAAAATAATCGAAAAAACGAAAACCAATATTGTAATAATCAGAGACAAAAATCGAAAATAAAAAAATCAAATACATTTTTAAAAATAAAAACATACATGTCAGAATATAATTTTTTTTTTCAGACACAATCAATCTTCTCGAATATTTTATGAATATTTTCCACGCCTAAGTACCCGTTTTGAGTACATCATTTTTTTTTTTAAGGGGGGTGTATATTTAAACATACCGACTGCGAAAAATTTATAACGACTTGATTCCGAGGTAGCTTACACCTAACGCTATGCACAGCACGTTGAAAATGTGGAATGCCACTGACTTTTTTGGTAATATATTTTTTTATTTCAATTTTTCTTACCTTATATATATATATACATTAATTATTAATATATATTAATATTAAAATTTATTTTATTTTACGTTAAACATTAAACCTATGAGATCGTTGGACAACCGCGACCTTAAGACATAAGTTTCTTACCTACATAATATGTTAACGCTTATCTATTGTATGCTTACTTACGAGTACTTAATTTTAACGAAATACCAAATAAACCTTATAACTATTATTATACATAAGCCTATAAATAATTTATATCGTATATTTTTTTTTTCTTACAATATAAATTATTACTAAGGAGGGTGGATTTTAAAGTTAATTTTCGTCCTTAACCTAATATTATATTATCCTAGTAAACGTATTATGTACGTACCATCATAGCCATCGGTTGGGTCATAATCGGTTCTATTAAAATCAATTGATAAACTAGATCTCTGGAGGCGACAATAACGGCGAACTAACAGATTGGAAGTTTTTTAAACAAAATATGTTAAAACGCGACGGAAAACTGTGGTAAAATTTTTTCTATGATATTTAAAAAAAAAATGAAATGAAGTACTTGGCGGTCCACCGATAGCCATGGGTGAAACATAAAAAAAAAATTCATAATGTAAAAAAAAAACCTTAAACTAATATAGCTCTCTTAATCCTAGTTGCAATTGCTTACTCGCTAGTACATAGTCTAAAAAAAAAACCTTAAACTAATATAGCTCTCTTAATCCTTGTTGCAATTGCTTACTCGCTAGTACATAGTCTGTTTTTGTGAAAAAAACCAAGACATGTATTATACAGCTAATAAGAAGAGTTTTTGACGATATTCGACATGCGATTATGCAGAACATCATCGCATGTCCTTAACCTAATAACGTTAAAATTAATATAATATTATGTCCTAATCCCTTACACGCTATTACATGCAGTCTGTTTTTGTAAACAAGACATACCATGTGCTTAATAACTACGATTATTTTGTGCATTAATGTTCTTAGACGTTCGGTGCTTAACCTACTAGTACTAACTGCTATATTAAACTTATAACCTAATTCCTTACACGCTATGCATAGTCTGGTTTTGTGAAAAACCCAAGACATGCGTTTAAGACTAATTTTTCAACTTGTTCGTAGAGCCCACCAATTCACCGACCAAAATTGGTCGGGAAAAGATTAAAAATGCATAAATTAATAAAACCGAAATAAAAACTTACGTCCTAACTTATGTACTAATTTTTTTTTTATATAAAAATATAAGATAAGACACTTGTGTCTGGCATCGTTGCGTTTAACAAAATGCTCGTCGAGGTAGGTTAAATAATTAGGTACTCATTAATTAGGCCGGATTCGCAGTTGTGGAGGTCCTAGGATCCAGACAGACTAGGCTCACCGTATTATGAGGTAGTTTAACGGTATTTCAAAAATGAGAAGTGGGAATATTATGTCAAGAGTTAAAGAAAAACAATTGCAGAAGATTAATTTGGTGGTAACCGAAACGAAGCAAAACATTTCTATAGTATATTTTATAGTTAAAGTTAGGTACGCGTTATCGTTGGATTCGCGACCCCCCAACAACGCTTCTTAAACACTAGTTTTTGGCATGTTTTTGTAAGTAATAAAGAACACCATTTCTTAGCTTAAATTTGTATTATCTTTGAACTACGTTGTCTGTACTTAGTCGTTAATTATGCATAATGATAATTATAATATGAACACCGCTTTGCCCTCCCCTCCCTGGTAACTTGGAAGACCAATGCCTCGATGCTCGCCTATATAATATCATAATAATATTAATTATATTATGTGTTAGCACGGCAATACTGCTTCGGTTTGTTTTACAGTCAGACTCACTGATGTTATTGTTTTTATTGGTTTCGTGTTAAAACATTTTACATAGAAAAAGAGTCATAAGTAGAAAAACGTCTAGAACCTTATTAAGGAACTTATGCCACTTGGAAAGACCTCGATTGCAATTTTTTTTTTCTTTTTATACACAAACTGAAAGTAGTCGACGTTTTTTGAAAAAAATCCTTGTGTTCCTTTGGAAAGTTCTAAAAGGACGGATGCAAACAGACTGGCGGTTAGTAGCTCCGCCTCCAGCCGTCGTTGAGCAATCAGAACCAGAATTTTTTGGAATTTCCAAAAGACCATAGGATCCGATTGGCGGACAATGACCAGAGGGCGGAACTACCAACTGTCAATTTATTTGACCCCCTTCAATAGTGAACATTAAGTAGAGTAAAACCGATGATCAAAAAAAAAAAAAAAAACAGAGATGGAAATACGGAAGTTGCGAAGAAAAAGTTTTCATCAAATAAATAAATACCTACCTACTACCTTACTCGACCAAACAGTCGACAGAACGAAACGACGCTAGATCAAAGCACGCTAAATAACTAATATTAGTCGAGCTGTAACACCGCTTTATAGGTACACATAACAGTAATACCTAATTATAGTAATACTAATATCAATAATATATTTTTAACTAAAAGCTAATATGAAGAAATGTGCAAGTATGTGGAAAAAATGGTGATTACGTTAAACAATAGACACGACAAAGAATAAAATAGTATTCATAATATCAAAATATGAAAAGAACGACCAAATTATATTATATATTTAAGAAGAATGTTCGAAAGTAGATAGAAGTGTTGAAAAACGTGCAGAATAAAAAAATGTGCTAAAAAGTAAAACAAATTGTGAAAGTGATCCTAAAATGTACTACAAAAGATATTTTTTTAATATTAATTTAAAAAAATCTATTCTACTAATTTTTGGCATTTGATATTGTTGTAATTATTATGGAGTATATGTAGATACTCTAATTAACTCTAATCTTACATAAATAGTTTTAATCTAACTTAACCTAATCCTTAACAATAAGTAAAAAAATATATGTATACATTTTTTTACTTATTTCTAATTTACTAAGTGTCCAATACTTTTTGCTTAAACGTTCGTTTAAGGTTAAAAAAAAAAATAAAAAACTTATCTTAATTTTATTCCTATATTAACAAAAAAAAAGTTACTACATTATTAATCTTTCACTACAAATCACTACAGAAAATAAAAGTATATTATTTTCTATTCTACTAATTAGCCCTAATTCGACAGATATAATGGTATAACAATAGTATTGTTTCAGTACTAATGTTGATATTTAACACTAAATTAAATAGTTTTCTATGGTACTTTCTATTTTACTAACCTTACCCAAAACACATTGACTAACTCGTATGATGTTTTGCACCAATTAAACCTTAAAAAAGCGTATTACGTAGGATTTATTGTTAACATATTATATTATTATTTCCTATTCTAACGTAAACGACCGTCATGAACCGTCGTCGTTATACGCCACTACTATTATTAATATTACTAGCATACACCTACACTGTAGTATATATATTTATACTACTGCACATATTATTATGTATTAACTAAAAAAATCAACATCTATTGACGTAATATATTATATATATATTAGGTGACACGATGACTAGAATAGTTTTAAACGACATTGTCAAGATCACAATTAATTCGAATGTAGGACTAAAATACATGGTGGCTTTTTCGTTCGGTGAACGTTAGTAGCTTTCAGTCAGATTAAAAAAGAAAAACGATTTCAAATCTCTTCACATCGATGATGAATTAAGAGTCTACCTAAACAGGATTTGCTGTCTGATGGCGTTAACATGAGCTGTTTCGAAATGGGAAGCGATAATGAACAAACCTTATCTTATAGAATATTTCATATTTAATTTCATTAAGACCCTCTTTAAGTAGACATAGCTTTAGATATACAATTGATATATTACATCTCATTTCGTACATCGACATCGTTTAAAAAATGAGCAATAGTATTATTAATTGTAAGGAAAATGTTGATAACTATCCGGCACTGGATAACAAAAAGATAGACATAAAGTCTATGACATTTTCTAATTTGTTGATCGAATGTTGTTTGGTGTACGGTGAAGAAATATTATTAATGCGGTTTATTAAAAAACCTATACCTTAGGGGGGGGGGGGGGAAGCGAAGAATTTCATGAACGTTCTTAGTTAACTTTTACTTTGAAATCATTTTTATTTTTAAATTTTTCGATAGAATTCAAAATTCTATTCAAGCCATGTCTGTATAAGGCGGTTCCTCTTTTTTAAGCTCTTAAAAGAAAAGTTAAGCAAGAAACGAGTCGCTTGTAAGTGTCTCAATGAAATGTTGTACATAAATTTAATAAATGGTGGTCGTAATTATGGTGTAATTATCATTATTATTGATTATTATTATTATAACTCTCATTATTGTTATTTTATATTATTATTATTATTACAATTAATATTATTATTATTATTATTATCATTAATATTATTATTATTATTATTATTGTTATAATTATCATTATAAATGCAAATTACACTAGTTCGTTTGCACATTCTAGAGTTAATTAAGATTTTATATTCTCTGTCTAATATGGGTGTTTAACTCCATATTGGTATGTTCACACTTAATACACGCACACATATATAATATTAATATTATAATAGTTGGAATTATATAATAGCAACAAAAGAAAACGTTATTATTATTATTATATCGTTAATTAATAATTATACTCTAAATAATATAATTTTACGACGAATTCAAATATATATATATATATATATATATGTATATAGATACATAAACGGGTGTATGTATATATATACACGAGTGGCTGTTTAGGAATATCTTAGACTAGCAACGTTATTAAAATAGAACACTATCAGTCAACATGCTTGCGCAATTATTATATTTTAATCTGTTCAATAAAACAAAAATTGTAGATATATAAAAGAATAGAGATAAATTCAAAGAAAGAGAAAAAAGCATTATAAATTAAATTAAAGATAAAATTTAAGTTAAAAAAAAAACGGAAAACTTGAGTATAAGATAAAATTATATGCATCAACAATGATTATATTGCACAAACATTAACAAAATGTTTTTGTATATATTTTTGTGGGCGGTGAATGGATTTAGGAAATATTAACATAATATTGTTTTTGGTTTATGACGTTTGTAGAAAAAAAATGTGTAGGTATAAATCTTAATAAAGTAAATATTATTATATTGTAAAATATTTATATAAATATATTATGCATAAAGTGCTTTACACATGTATACATGTAAAAATGTATGTATATATATTGTTGTTACTTGTTCTGTTGACCGTAAATATAGATATATATATATATATATATATTTATATTATATTCGAATGGTGCACGCGATTTAAATTTTAAACGTATCTAATTAAAAATAGATAAATATATGTATATATAAATATATATATACATATAGATATATTATATCTATATGTATATGTATATATATAATTAATATATATAAATAAACATAATTTACCTTCTTGAATAGTCATGATAAAGTGTATTCGCAAGTCAGTTAAAGATGTTTTTAGAAGGGAGTTAAATGGTATGTTAACATTGGAAAATATTCGAAGAAGATTGATGAGATTATTAACAGTCGGTTAATGAATCGGCGAGAGACATTAACAAACTGGATGCGTCTCCTTTGCCTAAAAATGATAACACGTACAAATTATTATTGCATTGCAGATAAGTTTACATGACCGCGAGGGCCGTGTAGTAGTATTTCGAATAAAATGATAAAAAAAAAATAATAATAATAAATTAAAAATTAAAAAATGAAGAAAAAGCATGAAAAAAAAGAAAAAAATGTCCACGAGAAAAAAAAACAAACAACATAAAGTTATGCATTGGCCATAATACAGCATTTGCCACAATCGAGAAAAACAAATGATTAAGTAATTATGTAAAAAAAAAATGTATAGAAAGATGAAAAAGAAAATATTATTAGTATATAAATGTAGATAATACTAATAGGCTTGAAAATATGTGTTTGTAAGTGTGTGTGTTTGTGTTTATAGATATATAGAAAAACAGAGTACATAAGTATAAGTATAGGAATTATTTTGTTGTTGTTGTTGTCGTCGTGGCGTATCAACGAGAATGAAGTATTATTCGTTATAATGAAGTATTATTAATAAATAATAGTTGTTGTTTTTTTACATATATATATATATATATATATAAATTGATATTACGAAAAAAAAAATACGTTGGCGGACGTGTCAATATATAATATAATAACATAATACTTCATTTGTCGCTGGTTTTTTTTTTTTTAATTTATTGTAAGATGCGTTGTGTTAATTATATAGCGGAGGCGGTCGCGTTCAATTGAGATTCATTTTATTGCGTATAAGTAAGTCTAAATCGTTGATGTTGTTATTACCTTTGTTGGTCTTGAATGATACTTGGAGTACGCGGTTGCCTAACGTGTACCCGTTCAGGGACTGTATGGCCACCACTGCTTCGTCGTAGTTGGTCATGGTGACAAAACCGAAGCCCTTGCACTTGTTGGTCTGCAGGTCTCTGATGACCTTAACGCTCTGCACGGCGCCGAATGGCCCGAACAACTGCCACAGCACGTTCTCCTCGGTCTCGGGCGCCAGGTTGTATACGAATATGCACCAGCCGCTGCCGTTCAAAGAGTTGCCCGGCAACATGGAGTTGGCCAACAGGTCGCCGGCCAACGGTGAGTATCTGTGCACGCAAAAATTAATAACGATATAGGCAACCACAACGGTAAGCAAACGGTGTCGTCTCTGTTGGGCGAGAGAAAGGACCTGCGCAGAAACCGAAACGCGTTGTTGCTGCTGATGTCTGCGCAGGCGCGCACGACGGCCCTTTCTCTGGTTGAACAGAGACGCCGTGCAAAGAACACTCGGCCGCGCTCTAGTGGACAACAAAGCAAGTTATTATTCCCATATGAGAACATTGAAAAATTCCAAAATTATTGACTTGTTTGTAATTTTAAAAATGTATTATAGTACAATTTGTTGTACTAATCTAGTTGTTAGATGTATGAAAAATGAATACAACCATTTGTTTTACATCTGCAGCGGTTTTTAAAAGAAATTCCCATATTACATCACCAATGTAATAACAAGAAAACTTATGGAGTTGTCCACTAGGTCACACTGTTTATCATCGTTTGCACGTTATCTTATAGATGATCGTGCAAGGTGAATTAGTTAAAGCGAACCGTGTAAATATCGAATTCATCTAGTGTGGATCGCGAAAACTCGACTTAACCTTACCTAAACTGGTTTAAAAAAAAATTGGCGACCGATTTCAAAACTCTATCTAGCCCAGGTGTCAAAATTTGGAGCCGAGTTCTAGGATCTTTGTGGTTCGTAGAAATATAAACTTGAGGGTTAGGCAGAAGTGCAAATAATTTCAGATTGTTGGGGTAGGGAGAAAGGGCCCAAACCCTATACTATAGCACCAATACAAATTTAGTCCTAAGATATAATTAGCCACTTGAGGGATTTGAGATAACTCAAAGGGGCTTAGTCTCCCTAGCATCAATTGCGCCACTAGGGTTTAGCTCGTGAATAGTCATTGTCGAGTGAGAAAAAAACACTGAAAACCTAACCAAACACTTTTATGACACGAATTTCTCGAACCTGAATTGTAGTTTAATAAAAATCCATTATTGTCATCGCTTTTTGACTTAATGAATTGAAAAAAAACTGTTTAATCGTCCACAAAAAATGTGGAAGACTTTTGTAAACATTTTTTTATTTTAGAAATGTGAATTCCTAGTAAATTGCATAAGTTTATGATTTTTATTTTATTGAAAACCCCTGACCTTGACTTTTACTTCAGTTGAGCACAAGACTGGTTTGTTAAAGGACCTGGTAAAAAAAAAACACTATTTCTACTTCTATAATTTTTTTGTCTTTATCTAAAACAAAAAAAAACGCCAAAAATGTTAAAAACCCCATTTTTTATTTTGTCTTTTTATTTCAAGGACAAAAGTAGGAGCAAGCGAAAATTCGAAGTACTGTTATTATATTTATATAGTAGTAACAATTATAATATTATTGGTATTAATAGGACACATTCGACACTATAGTGGAGAAGGTAATTCTAGTATTCAATATTATATTGTTAAGACCTATACTGACCTCTGTAAGCCTTTGTTTATGGCCAGCATAGTCTTTCCGGTGCTAAAACAAAAATAAAAACAACAAAATATACATAAGTTCACGACCACGATAGCAAAAAACATATTATAATGAGCAATAATATAATGTGTTTCAATAATAAAATGTTATTAGCCAAATATATTAGCATTAAGTTAGCAAGTGAACTAAACAAAAAACTTAGATAGTAAATTTTTTTTTTATTTTAAACAACTTTAGGGACAGACGTTTAGTTACTTTCTTCATATTATTGTATTTTCCAAAAATGCTAGTCAAAAATCTGGAGTTGACTGTCTGTTTTAGCCATAATAGTTAATGTCGTCACAATAATTATATCAACTACTTACACTTAATAATTTTATCAAAGTATTATAGTTCCAAAGGTTTGAAAAAATAAAAGTTTTGGTTGCGTAAACTACAGAAAAAAAGATAATAACGAAACGTCTGTACATAAATATATATTACATAATTATTGTAAAAATTATTAATTATCCTCAATGTGTAATGACCATTTCAACTGGGATATGTTAAGGTTTCTTTTAACTGCAGAAAAAAAAAAGTCTAATTTCTGCAATTTTGTCATGTCCAAATACTTCGTGGATATTTTGTCGACAGCTACTGTGATGATTACAATTAGTACGGTAAATATATAATGGTTATATTCAATTCAATAAAAACATTTTTAAAAGTATTCATCTGGAACGCATTTGTGAATTCATTCTCTTCATTTGTGTTGTTGGTTTGTTTAACATAACCACTATAGTAGAATCAATTAGTTTACTTTAAACCCAAAACACTAAAGAAGAAGAAACAATTAACTTTAGTTTAAACTTTCAAAATATTTTTTAACCCAACAAGTTTCTTTTCTAAACCAATGTTGCCAATTGTTTAATTTTTTTTTTTTTGTAGAGTTATCGTACCAAAAAAGTTAAATGTGAAACTGTCTTACAGTCACATTTTAAGCAAACCGATCATTTGGGTGAATTTGGAAAATTTTATTGACTAGAAATAAATGTATATTAAAAATACAAATAAAGAAAAAATGATAATATATATTTGAATAGAGATTTGTTTAATCGATGAATCGCTCATAAATCAATTAATTTAACAATAGCTGATTTAACGAAAAATGACAAAAGTTAAATATTTTTCAATTAAAATATACATAATGTTTAAAAATGAAAACATTTAAAGTAAGTTATAATACCAAACATAGTTTGATTAAAAAAACAATAATAAATATATATGTCATGTAGACTTGAATTATTAACAATTATAAATTTGTACATATCTGATTATCTAACTTATATGATATAATATGTGACCATTTGCTATCTAAATATCGTTTTTCAGTGTTTGTCGTTTATTAACCAATGAAGGCAAATTAAAAATAATTATATCAATATTTGATAATTAAGAACTTTGTTGCAAAAATAAAATACACATCCTGAGTAAGCAATATTAAACGGTGTGTAGGATACTATTTTTTTTGGTGACATTAAATAAAAATGTAACCAACAAATATAATAGGAATAAAAAAGAAAATTCCAAGGTTATATCTTTTAAATTTAGGTAACAGAAAATACCGCTTTAAAGTAGCCAAATAACAACAATTATAAACTAAACGTTTCTCAATAATTTTAACAATTAATTAAAATAAAAAATTGTACTTAGACGAGTTCAGGAAAAATACCTATTATCACAATTTAATAATTATTTTAACGTTGTCTGATAAAGATGGTTGAAAACAAACTAGGCATTCGACATATTATGTATTTTAATAAAACACAAAGACGATTTTTTATATTAAATACTTTTAATTATTGTCTACACAATAGTTATATTTAAATATTACAATTGAATTAAGTACCCCCAATAAAACTCAGATATTGTACGACTCGTTACGTGAAGTTTTTTTTATTTTATTCAATTTTTTTTTTTTACATAATTTCAACCTAGCACTGGGTACCAGTTTTTTAGTATAATGGGATTTAAGAAAATTAATAAAGAAAATAATATTAATTAATTACACAACAAAGAACAGAACTAAGCCACGAATTTAGAAGAACGTTTTACTGTTATAAGCCCTTAAAACTTTTTTTATTTTATATTATATAATGGAACGTGTAGGTATTTAATTAAACTATTTTTTTTTTTTTTTTTTAATTATTATTACTTTTATTACAACTGAACTGGATGTACTATTTAATATCACCGTATGAAAAACGAAGAGCAGAAATGGTCATAATTGGATAAAGGGGAAAGTGGAATATACCTGAAGCGGCCAGCAGTCGGGTGATGAATAGCGCCGGCGAATCTTCGTGCGCCTTGAGGAGTTAAATAAGCGGCTAAGGCGGGTATCACCTTGTTGGTACTGGGATTGTTGGCAAACTTGACGGTGATAGATTCAGACGAACCTTTAGGAACAGTCCCGTTCAATTCTTGAATTGCTCGTTCGGCTTCAATTCTTTGATCAAAACGTATAAAACCAACACCTTTTGATATGGCTGTAAAAATACAACCACAATTAATGAGGAGGCTTGAACAAATTTCAAAAGAGGACATTACAAAAATTTATATTTATAAAAAAAATGACATCATTTTCTTCTGAAATTGAACAACAGGTGTTATTAATATAATATAACATATTATCCTAAAAAATTATAGTGTAAAAACTAAATCCATTGAGTTAACACAAAACGAAAAATATTTTCAAAAGCTGATGTAAGCAATTTAAAAATGGAGACTTAGGGCCGTGCGATGATTTTGTCAATAAGAGTTATTATAAATGATTAATTAATTTCACAGTCTTCCGATTAATTTTTTTGTTCAATGAAATACATAAAATGGCAATTGACCAGATGAAAAATAAATCACACAGCCCTAAATTGAGTACATAATAATTCTAAGATGTTTTTAAAGTACAAGAATATGTACGAAACTCACATGGTGAATGATCTCCTCCGGAATTGCCGACAAACTGGCGCACTGCGAACAAATCAACAATAGGATTTCGATTAGAATATTGTTGCGCAAAAATAAAAACAACTTAACAAAAGATCTTAACTTACCAGTCATGTTATCACATAAAATTCTTGACGTAATTATCCGACCGTACGGGCTGAATAAATTTTCGAGGTCTTGTTGCGTCATGTGTTTTGGAAGACCACTGACATATAAATTAGCTCCTTTGATCGCCTCACTACTTGGTCTTGCAAATGATACCTATGCAAACGACATAAAAAAAAAAACAGTTATAGTAAATGATTAATCCTATACAATTATAATTTAACAACCTTAATAGTTTTGTTTTGTAATCTTAGTCCGTTAAGAGTGTTAATTGCTTTTTCTGCATCTTCCGGTCTATGGTAGTTGACGAAGCCATAACCTAAGCTTTGACCTGTACAAAAACATTATACGATAAACAAAACAAATATTTTGTAAGTTTATAGCGTACGATTGTAAAAAAAAAATAATAATAATCAAATGAAGTTAACAAGCGTTTCGTTTCAGTTGTAAACATTCAACGCTAGCTTAGGCAAATGTTTGTGACGTGCAAATGCATGTATATTAAGAGAATCGCCGATCTCTGTATGAAAGGTGACAACAATATTATTTTTTTTAATTGTCAAAAATCAATAAAAAAAAAAAGAAAATGTATTAATAACAATGGTTTACCAATTATTATAGTAATCAATTCAAAGGATGGGTAAAATTATTAAACAAAAATATATTATACAAATAAAACCAAATATATTTTTAAATGCATATATAAAAAAAAAATGAATAAGAAATTAGTACAAAAAAAATTATAACAATGCACTACACAAATGCCTCATTACTTTAAACTTTCAATCACATTATACTTTTCTTTTTTTTTAATAAAACAATGAAATTAAAAATACGTTGAGCTATTTTTTAGGATTATTTTACTTTTGTTGGGCACTTTTTATGTTAACCAATAAATTTTTTATATTTTTTTTTTGTAATAATAGTGAACATTATTTCTAAAGAGGTTTTTAATTTACACAATTTACGAATGATTAATTATTTTTTCTGAAATCAAGCTCAGCCATATTCACACGCGGCATACAGTTAATAGAAAACTATCGCGGCGCCGTCGTTTCGACTCATAGCTGTTAAGCATGTTATTTACAAACAAGGTTGACAATACCTTGATGATTTACAATACCTGATGGAAGAATTCCTGTGAAATAGCATGAAAGAAATAAAATAATATAAATAATAATAGACAATAGTTATGGTTGTGTTATATTAATTGTGATCTAGCTAATAGTGAAAAATTGAATGTTGAAATTAGTTAGGTAATTATATTTTATTTTAATTATACTTATTATAACATATAAATTAACAATACTAAAGTTTTATAAATTTGTTTTAATCAAAACCACTTATTATCAATAAATATATAATTTATATTTATTTATATTATATATGATGTTATGTTACATAAACAGTGTTATCATATCATTATTTAGTTAGTTTGCTTGGTGCGGTCTATTTAGTGTGTGTAAGTGTTGTTATAAGTAAGTAATAATAGAAGATAAATTCATTGGTCGTTTAAATAGTATTTTAGAAGTTGAGAATCCTATAAGTATATATTTAAGAAGTAGACTTAAATACAAGGAACAAGGAAAAGAAGAAAATGAATAACATATAAATTGTAGGAAGCTTGCTACACCTACTCAAAATAAAGACGACAGTCTAATTTGAATATTTAAGGTAAACAAATGAAATATATTTTGGAAAGTTGATTTGAAGTGTTTGTAAAAATAAAAATACCCTATGTAGTTAGGACTCGAAGCAAATTATGAACAACTTTAGAAGTAATTATGTAAGGTATTCTAGGTAATAACATTTCCGTTATTAACTTAATTCGTTAACTAATTTTTAATAAAATTTGTTTGAAGTAGAAGACGGCGATTTTAATAAAGGAACAACGAAAGGTATACTACAAGATTTTTACAGCAGAAATCAAGTTAATATTTGCAAGGAGAGGTTTCTAAGTGTTGATGATGTACCCGACATTCATCTATCACTAAAAAAGAAGTAACTAGGTTTTTTTTTCAATTTAGGAGGCTAAGATTTAAGTGTAAAGGGGCTAGAGTTTTATGCAATTTTAAGTGCCATAATAGAAGTAACACAACAAGTGTAAAACTAAATAAATATATTTTTATTTTTATAATTAATTATACTTTTATTTATTCATTTTTTGTCTTTATATAATTAATTTACTATTTATCTAATTAATTTTGATTGTGTTAACTGATCAGTTTAATCTATTTTAATCTGTACTTGGCATAGTCAGCGTTTACATTAAGCTATTAATCCACTTTGAACGTAACATTTATACATAATTATTTTAAAGTACTTTATTTGAAAGACTGAGAAAAAACTCAATTTGAAACCGTTGAATAGAGACAGCTCTTAAAATACCTATATAGGATTATCGCATAAGAGATTGTACATGAATAAGCTCGGCTTTTATACTTCAATAGGAAAACGAAATAGGTTGTTACAAAGTAAACAACAGATAAAAGGCAGATCGAAGAAAGTAAATACTTGTATTGAAAAGGAGATGATACTTGTAAAACCCAAGTTGAATACATAAAGTGATAGTTTAATGGATAGTAACTTAAGAAGATGTATTGAACCCAAAAGATAAAAGCACACGAGACTAGTATAAAACATTTTATAAAGGATATTGATAATATAAATTGAAACATTTCTAAAAGGTAAAATACCAATTTTATCTATTTTAACATTTTAAGAAATTTAAAAAAATGTATCCTCATTAAATTAAACCCAAGAAAATATAAAATATACTTAATAAATTACATGTATTTAATGTGATTGAGAGTTATCTAAACTACAATAAAATATGAAATAAAAAAAAACTAAAATCTAGTATATTTATAAAACAACAAGAAAACCAATAACTTTACATACTTGGAAAAACAAATTAAATATATGTTTTTTATACTTGATAAATTGTTATACATTTTATTTAACTAACGTTACGCTATTTTATAGTATAAAAATACATAACATTAGTTTTATATCGTAAATGATATTGATGTACCTCCGATTTAGCCAAAGCACATAATATACTTGGTTTGGTGATGGCAATTTTATCGTTAAGCTCAAAATACTTTTTAGTTTTTTACAATTATTAATTATTTTGTATCAAATAAATTGGGTCTTTTTCAATAGTTTTCTACATATCTTTTTGGATTTAAAATAAATCTGAAAATACATTTAATTTCCTTGTATAAATATTTCAACTAGGGACTATTTATTGTCAAAATAATTCTAAGTAAAATGTATTTTTAAAACATACATATTTTGTAGTAAAGTTATTTGAGTAAAAAAAAATTAACTAACAAAAATTCTATTAAAAACACTTTAGACAAACTGTACATGTAGACTGTTTATAATTTTGGTGTTCTCAAAACTGATAAATAGTTATTAAGTGTTGTTAAGTTAATGATGGTATTTACCTATTTAAAAACATAAAAAACTAGTTAATTCTAGTTAAAAAAATTTTAAACTGATACAACTCAAAACAAAGACTATTCTATTTAATATAATATTACAAATATCTCTATACAGTTCTATTCGACTTGAAGCCATTCATTTGATCTAGCAGATAATATAACGATAAAAATTGCTTACCTGTTACTTTGTCTCTAATAAGTTTACAGCTTTCTACTTCTCCGATGGAAGAAAATAAAGATCGAATTTCTTCTTGAGTCATGGTTTGTGGTAGATAATTTACAATGAGATTGGTTTTGCTTTCTTCGTTGAGAGAATTTCCTTGGGTCGACCCATGGGAATTTGTACTAGAGGTGTGCATAGAGCCGTTGTGTGGCAAAGAATCCATTCCGTTTTGCATCATTTTTTTTAAATTTTCTATTAGATTTTTATTTGTTGATAATTAAATCTTGTTGTCGGTTTAACAAAATAAGTTAACAAAAACGAAAAACAATTTAATCTGAAATGAAATAAAAACAAAATGTATTAGGTAGTAATCGATTTAAGGTGATTAAATTTATAGGTGTGATATTTTAAATCACGTATCGTTGTGTGACAAGTAGTGTATTTAAGCTGAGGCGTAGTGACTTGCTGACCTCATCACAAAAGGTGTCTCGTTAAAATACAAAATATAATAATTATCTGTCGAATGTCGTCAGAGGGGCGAATGGGTAAAATGAATTTGCTCAATTGTTGTCAAAAAACGACGGATCATAAAGAATGAACAAATATCTCAAATAATAAGTACAAAACGACTAGAATTTCTTCGCAACGATTCTACAGTATATTTAGGTTTTTAAATTGTTTAGGTATTATTGCAAACGTGTTTAGTGTAATATTACTAACTAACGATTGATATTTACCGTTACAGAAGAAGAGCTTTGTTAAACGGTAAATAGTTGAACTAGTAAAACTCATCGACGTGAATTACAACAAAGCACAACGTTTTCGTACAAACACGTCTTGGACCCGTTTGTTTTGACAGACAAATACAACATAATGTCAAGTAGGCAGAACGAAATTGATTTTTCTAATAAATATATTACTATTAAATAACACTTAACCCTAATAAAATTGATTTTAATTATTACGTCAAACCCTTTAACGTTTTAAATAAATAGGTAGGTGTAACAAAAACTATTCCTAAAACTAATATTATAACTATAAATTAAGATTCGGAGAGGAAAAAAAACTAATAACAAAAACAATATATTGAACACTGAACAGTATCAAACAAAAAAATTCACAAACGGGTCGCGCACACATGGATTTTGATAAGGATAAACAGATTTTAGTGATAAGAAATGAAACCAGACCTAAAAGCAAACTTCATGAATTTGTGTACTTGCAATATTTCCTAACAAATATGTATACACAGGTACAATAATAACAATAATTGGCTGCAAACGGGTTTATGAAAATATCTATTACTTTTTTTATTTTGCTGTAAGGTATGTAGTATAATTATTGTCCTCTATAAATTATTCCTAGTCGCTCCCAATATTGCTAACCAATCGATACCATCGCATTTGTATTGGATACATTTTACTTTGTGTGTTGAATTGTTATATTACCATTTACCACGAATCATGACGAACATCGAATAAAAAAAAACCACTCTTTTTATTGGGAAATATAATAATAATATACTTTGGTATTTTAATTATAAATAGGTCTTTTTATTTTTACTACAATTTTGTTTTATGTTTTTTCGAAAAAGTCCTACAGAAACACATCAATCTCGTAGACATTTATAAACACGACATTTTAGATTTTACAAACAAACGAAAAAAGCTCTGTGCTGTAATCGTAATTTGTGTTACAAATATTTCCAAAAGTGTTCATAGGTGTAATATATATTAAGCCCACAGGGGGTTGTCAGTGATTCAAAGCTACGGCAATTCATATTTCATAGTGTTCGGATAACAACGTTTGAACGCACAATGGAAGTTTTGACTTTATTTTTAGATTTATATTAAGTTGTTTACCTACATGTAAAAATTATGCCGACAACCGGTTTTGTCACGGAATGATACCCAATTATGTTATCTTACAATCGTCAATCACTACTTGCCCGTGTACCTATATACGGTAATATAGTGAAGCATAGAGTAAAAATTTGAAGTAGGTATATTATATTTTTGTATTTTAAATATTGGTTTCAAAAGTATATTTTTATTTCCTCGTTTCGAATAATGTTTTAAGTGTACCTATTTCCAATATTAAAAACCAAACCAGTACATTAACCAACTAAAAAAGGTTCAAAAGTTAGGTAATAGAAATTTTTCAACTTTATTGTGCGCTTTGTATTAACTTGAAATGTCCACTCAAATTATTTTGTTCTGTGTTAACGTCAAAAACGTACATTTGTTTTAAATTTTACCTAGTTAAGTTAAGTCTATTAATTTCATATTTTTATTGTTTTTTTAGCTACTAAATAATTTATAATTCTTTAAAACAAAAAATTCACCGAGTAAAATATTTGCTATAATACGGAAATAGAAGGGTAACAGTAATTTTTACACTTGTCACACTTGGGTCACTTTTGAAGTTGGACAACAAATATTTTCCCTGTATCTCTTAACAAATAATTTTTATCTATTGCTTCGTTTAGATAAAAAATGATCTGAATAATGTCCAACTCAAACATGTTTGTACAATGTCTTTTTTTTTTTGTGTCTAAAAATTGAAAAATTTGTCAACAATTATTTTACTGTGCGTTTGCAGCTGATGATTGCTGATTTTACTAAATAGCTTTGTTAATTTTTCTTTAATTCACTATCAAAATCTGCGACAAACATAAGACCCCCTCGCGAAAAACTACCCCTTAGCTAGTAGCCCGGATCAGGACAATATGAATGGGAAAACCCACAAGGAACACTATAAGATGGACTCGGAAAAAAATATAATATTACATAATATCCCAACGACTAAAGTATAATAATATTATGTCAAAACCAGATGGAAAAAAATATATCTCTAAAAAATAAAATATATAATACTTTGTTCGGTACTTTCAGAGAACGAGTATTTTTCAATTATTATTATTATGAAAAAGCAATCCAAACAGATTGATTTCGACTGTACTCGGGGGTTTTTTTTATTATATTTGAAATTTCCGGTTCGGCGTTTTCCCAACGACATATAAATAATACAACCGTTTATTTGGGACAACTTTTTATTTATTTTGTTCGTTCGTTTTTTATACTCGGATTACTTTTTTTTTTTTTATTCGGCGAATATAACAGATGTCGGCGGCAAATTGAAATTCCTCGTAAATGGGATTAAGCGAGACATGTTTTTTTCTCTGGAAAATACGGTTTTCCCCGTAAACAAAAGAACGTGCGAAAACACGTTCAAGTGCTCTCGACAAAACAAACCGAAAATCCAATTTTCCAGGGAGAGGGATTAATAATAAAAAATAAAAAATACCTTTCGCCAAATAAATTACATTTTTCTCCTCTGGGACATGTTTCGTTGATTTTGTCGAATCGCTAGTATTGAGTACATGGCTTACATTCTGTGTGTTTTGTAAAAGGAATAAAGAAAACACTCTCTAGCCCGGAAAATCAGAGAACAGTATCAAAGCAGCAATTCAATATTATTCAAGTGACTTATAGGTAGGTTTGAAAGAAAATTAATAATAAAACACAATTTTACCCTCTCGTAGGTGTTGCGTGTCAAATTCAAGAACGGTCTGTAAGATTTAATTTAAAAAAAGAAAAAAAAGTAATTGAAAAACGTTCTATCTGCGTACTAAGCTGGAAAATAGTTTCACTGGAGTTCACACAAAAATGCTATCAGCATTTGCAAAATGTATTAAACTTGTAAGTAACTCACATTCATAATTATACAGTATGATTTCGATAAATCTAAATGTCACTTAGAGGTTCAAGATGGTGAACATGCTCAACCTTGACTGTTTTAGTAAAGGGAGATAAATAGGACTTGGGTAGTTAAGGTGCTTTAGGCTCTCAAAGAATTCAGGTTAAAAATGTATTCTCAGTATGAAACTTGCTAGTAAGTTTCATATGCTGAAACATATTTCGTTAGTCCCAATACTTATAGTTTTAGAATTCATTTGTTCAATTATAGTTGATGGGCTAGTTTTGGGAAAGCTCCTTCATAAACTCTTTCAGTTGTTCATTTTTCAAAAATAGAAACATTGTTCAAGGAAACAAAGTAAATATTTACAATATTTAAGAATTTACAACAAAATATTATCTCAATCATTTTTACTAGCGGTCAAAACCCAAAGATAATTTTGTATCAACTTCAAATTTAGAGTCAAAACTAAGACCGCCTCGATAGAACCAGACAAAAAAAAAAGACTCAATTTTATTAACAACATAGTAAATTCTATTTAAAACTGTCGTGAAATTTGTTAGGAAATTTCGTTGTGGGAATAAAAAAAATCCTTTCTATACAATCCTTTTTTACTGTCCCTCCTCGTCCTCCAAACTTGATAATTTCCTAAGTTTTCTAAGATCCTTATCCATTCCTTTTATTCTGTATTCTATCCTTAATTTCCAATTCTGAACCTTCTATCCTACTCACTATTTCCATTATATATGTGTACATTCGAAAATAGCGCCAATGTACTCATGACTTAAATATACAAGGTTGTTGCATATTTATTAAATTATCAATTCAAAAAATGGCAGCGTAAGGGTACATCATTGTTATTTTTGATTGGCCGACCCTTAAGCTGCCATTTTATTTTTATCATCGAAAATTGCGTTGGAGAGGGGGTGTAGATATGCAATAACTTTGTAGGCTACGGATGTACCATTAAACAGTGGTACCACCAGTTAAACTCAAAACCGAAAAAAAAAATATGAACAAATACCATTCTTACCCTGTTGCATTTTGTATATTACATAACCGAACGGGTTAAAATCGGATAGTTCATAATATAATATTACACATACCTGCAGTACTGTACTCTATATGGTACTCGACGATGCCTAATATCTATGATGTATTTTTTTAAAACAAATTTTTCTTAATGGTCGTTTGCAGCTACTGTTGCTGTGATGCTGTTCGCTGGCGAAACCGGGGCGGGTTTATATAATGTTATATTACACTATAGCGATAATAATGATTTACTTGGCGAGAGGAAAATGACGAGGAAAACTCGGTACACACGGTCGGTCGGAAGTGTGGAAGATAACGCCTGGCAACGGCGGCGCAAGCGTAGTGCGTTGGGCCGGGCCGGGCCGGCCGCCATAGTTGTTTACCGCCTGTCGTTGGCACATCATGCAACACAATATACACACAACTGAATATTATGTATATATTATGCTTGTGTGTGTGTGTGTGTGTAGTTATTTCTTTTTTTTTTTTTATTACATAAGACCCAAAGATTTCGATCGACGACCGACGTTGACAGCCTTATTATAATATAAAATGAAATCGAAAAACTCTGGTAAAAAGACTTTATTATATATTTTTTTCTTCGAATCCGAACCCGGGTAAAAAAAAAAAATCAATACCGTATTATTATTATTATTATTATACACTGTTTGGATGTGCGTTTACACCCGGCCGTGTTCGGCTTGCTGTAATATTATGTTTGAGCGGGTTTTTGAAAAAAAAAAAAAAAATAAAAATCACCCTCGCCAACAAGTGCTGGCAGTTCGCCAAAAGTTCACACACTCAAGGTGTAGAGTATAATATAATCTTACAAGCTGAAAACGAAATACAGATAAAATAAATAAATACCCGAGATAAAATATACATACATAGGTAACATTCGACGACACACACCTGAATGTCAAAATCATATTATTTGTAAATTGTAGCTCATCTAAAATTGGACAACAAATGTTTTCACTGTTCCTATTGAGTGTATGATTAGCGACTTATCCCTAAAGTACTTAAATAGTTAATGAACGCAATTGCTTTTTAATTTTGTTACCCCCACTCTAATATTCCAGTGTACCAACCTATGTAAGGTTGGTACACTGTACAAAATACCGTAGCTAACTGCCAGAATTGGGCAAAATTTAAATAAGATAATAATAGATATAGTTTTCTATTCGTGAATAAAAATATTGTTTCTAACTGGATAAATAATTAGTTTGATTTTAATTTATAGATAGAAAACTATCATCTCGGATAGTTTAAAATTCAACTTAAAAAATTGCATGAATAGTTAATTAATATAAAATAGTTGGTTTTATTCGAAAATTAAAGAACTGTCTTAAATCATTTTTTGT